ATCTAACCTTGTCCAACATTGCGGCCTCTTCTGCATGCATAAGTTCCCGAACCCGAGCATCCCTCAATTCTTTTTCCAACTTCTCCTGTATAAAGTAAAACCATACATTACAGATTCACAGTTAATAGTTGAAGATAGTTGCATTCCACTAATATATATAACAACTACCATTAATCATCTATTGAATTACATTAAAAAAAAAGTACGATATTCAATACTTTATTGATCCATACCTTCAGTGCTCTCTTTTCATCAGCAAAAACACGGGAATCCAACTCAGCTTGCCTCTTTTCAGCAGAATGAATAGCTTGTAAGAAATCAATTACCAATTTCCCATCCTTGGAAATGTAACCCTCATTTAGCTCTTCGATTTCAGCAATTAAAGCCTGCATCCCGGAACCAATAATTTACATCTTGATTAAGTAAGATTCCCTTTCTTAATTCCAGCAAAATGTACATCCATTGACAATAAGGTAATAGTAAACAACCTCTGTTTCTTTATGAGACTTGTCAGTTTCATCTTTGCCACCACCACCCAAGGAAGTCATGCCAGCCTCATCCTTCAAATGGTATGCGTCAAGAAGAGAACTTGGCTGCCCTATAGCTTCACCTGTTTCATTCAACTCCTGAATAGAATACCGGCAGAGATAAACCCACATTTAATTACACATATTTTATCAGAAATTAATATATTTAGAGAGAAAAAAAGGGTCAATATGAATCATGATATCCCGTGAAGCGTGAACCTAAAAAGTATAACACCAATGAAATAATCATCTTCATATCTGGCCAGAACAACTTCAGGCGTGAGCTGCTTGCTGCCTACTACCTAGCATTCTTTCTAACTTGTCTTCTGTAATGAACATTTATTGAGTAATCCTTTGTACAGATGTTGAGTCAAATGAACACTAGGATAGAATAGGCCTGCTAATATGCCAAATTTACCTGCTACAATATGATGATAGGCTCCACTTGGAGCAAAGGGATCAAACTCTTCAACACCCCATGCATGATTTACAACTTGTAACCTTTTGGTAAATACATAATTAGATTCTCATATTCTATTGGCTCCCTCTTTCTAAGGAGTCTTCATCATAGAACTTTTAATTTAGAAGAGCTTTGAATGATAGGGAGACAGATGACTTGATTTTGCACCTCTCTTGCTAATGGAGGTTCCATTTTCACCCAATTATAAGAGATATGGGGATTTGGTTGTTTAATAATTTTAGTGCCTCTCTCCAAGTTGTTCTCTCATCCCTGAAAGAACAAAATTTTGAAGAATTAAAATTTTTTGCATGGTTGATGGTGGCGAATAGGAGGATTAACGCCATTGATTTCATTCAGGGGCCCTCTTTGACCCTATCCTCGATGGTAAATTTGTTAAAGGGGGATTAGGAGGATCATCACATTTTTGGCTTCGGCCTTTTTCCATAAGAATTTGGTTTAGGTTTTCCCAATTGTTGGGCATTGTTTTGGCCTCTTCTCGTGATTTTCATTCTATGATTGAAGAGATTTTAATCTATCCTTCAACTTGGGAGAGAGATAGACTATTTCAACTTGGGACAGAGATAGACTATTGCGGTAGGCAGGTTCTTAATTGTCTAGATATATTTGGTTGAGAGAAACATAATGGTGTTTCAAGATTGGGAAAGATCCTAGGAAGGAGTGTGGTCTGCCTCAAAATTTATTGCCTCTTTCTGGATTCTTTTATTTTAATATCCGGACAAACTGGCAAGCACTTCAACTAATCTCATAGAAGAATCTCTTCACCCAAGTATTGCCAAGACACTCGTAAGAGTCTAAATCTTAGGTAGGTGGCTTTCATAGTTTAAACTTATTTCCTCTATACCTTTTACCATTTTCATTAGCTCCAATATGACTACTAGGGTAACCCAGGTGATTTCCTATTGATTTCTAGTAACTCTTTCTTGTGATTTTCCTCCCACTTTGATTACTTCGATTACCAACAATTATGCCATTTTTTATAATTGTTTTCCTTCTGTGGCTCTTCCCGGTAGGTGTGGCCTTTTTACTATATATATATTTTTTGGTAAAAGAAACAATTTTATTGATGTATCAAATTACAAAAGTCCAAAAAGGAGATTACATGACGCACTTCCAATTGGCTAAGAGGGAAGTGTAGCTATAGTGATGAAACAATGGAGAGCATTTACACCAAGAAACAACTAAAAACACTATAGCTTCAAAAACGCTGTCAAATGGGAGGAGTTTATGTTGAAGATTTGCTGATTTCTCTCTCCATATAATCCAAAAGAAGGCCCTAATGAAGTTCTGCCACAGGATTTTTTCTTTTCCTTTTTAAAGGGGGCCTTTTTACTATATTGCATCTGTTTCTTTTCTTCCCTGCCTCTTAATAGAAGTTCGTTTACTATTAAAAAGGATTTACATTGTGCGCATGCATTTTAAGACTTTTTAACCTTACAAGCTACAATTATATCGACATTTAATTTGAAAGGATAGATATCAGTTACCTTCGGTTTGTCTTCTGCACTAATATCTTCTTGTGATTTTATTCTGATTCCGATTTGTTCAGATGCTGCATCTGTCTTAGTAGAAATTGGCGTAGTTTGAACTCCCTCGTGAATTCCACCCCTAGTACTTGCCTCTGTATTTTGTATGTCAAAATTTACATCTGTGGATGTTTTAGATTCTAGATTCTTATCCTCCAATTCGCTGATGCTTTGTCTAAACTCTGGCACGTGTTTCTCCTTGGTATTTTCATGTGGCACTGAGCTAGAATCATCTTCAAACTGACCCCCATCTTGCTCTTCACCCAAACCTTCAAGACGAGGAAACTGAGCATCTGTCTCAACCGTCTGCTCAGTGAACTCCACAGTGGGATTTGAACTCTCAGTTTCTTCTCTGAGACTATCGGATTTTTCAGTTTCTTCAATACCGGATGAATCCAATTTCTGTACCACCAAAGGTTGGACATTGTCTGAATCACTTTTCTCAACAACTGTATTAGTTGACCCGACAGAACTATTCTGCTCTTTACCACCAATTAGTTGGTCTAGATAGCCAGTCTGGTAAGCTGCAAAAACAGCGGCACTAATAGCGACACTTCCAAAGACAACTTTTGGAAAAGAAATTCCGGACTTAGGTGGCACGCTTGTAGGTTGCGGTTTTAGATTCTGTTTGGGTGCAGAAGAAAATTCCTTTCTTGCAGAAATACATGGTGATATCTGCCAACATTGCACCTGCAATAAAAACCTGTCAAAGAATCAGGAAATATTTGTAAAAGTTAACCATCATACCAAAATTTTTCAAGGACTATATAGTTTGGCTTCCTGCCAATATATATTATTATAGACTAGCTTCGCAACGAACGCTATTAGTGCTCCCACTTGATTTATCTCACAGCTCTTAGGTGACCTAAAATGTATCATGAGAAAAGAAACATATTGATGGCTTCAACATTTCTGACACGGTTAGTTAATTACAAAAGGAGAAGAAAAATAGTATAAATAGCTAGTCGTGTATATTTAAAAAAAAAAAAAAAGAAACTTCATGTAGTAAGCTAATAGAGCCTGACAACTGCATCCACAGGCACGCAGATGAAAAATCATATGCATGAGTCTGCTTGCAAGTCCAGAACCAAATCCCAATCATCTATTATGTAAACTCTCGTGGAGCCGATGACGAATAGCATAAATAGCAATTTTGAGTAAAGTTAAAAGATCTGCATGTTGTAAGCTACCGCCCAACTACGTCCACAAGCACACGGATGAAGAACCATTTGGATGTGTATGCTTGTAAGTCGAATACGCACTTCCGAAAATCTATGTGTTAATTCTTATAGCGTCAAGATTGTACTAAACACGTTCTGATCGCAAAAAAAATTTTGGGGAAGCCTTAAATGCGAAATTCTACTTGCCTGAGGAGAAATCTGCCTCGTAGTCCTTCCAACAGATTGACGAGATGATAATTCCAGAATTGACCTGCAGAAAATAATGCGATTAAAATGTCATCTGTAAGCAGCGGCCGATGTGACTGAAACCATAAAAATCAGAGTTTAAGACACAGCATAGCCATAGAGAGTATTTATCACCAAATCATATTCCTAACCCTCAGGAGATTAAGGAATTAGAAAATGTCAATTTTCAGCCAAACGAGGAAACACTGCACTCGGCTGAAAACCGAAATGATTGATTAAGGAAGAACATTAACATCATAAAAAAGAAAACAGAAGTCAGAATTGATTCGTAGTTCATAAGCATTTCCGAACCTCCGCCACATAGCGCCTAGGTATTCAGTAAGAACGGCGTGCGACGAAGATGTTTCAGTCAATAACTGAGCAGGCGATTGAATGTAACTTGGTCAGTCGATGATGGAAAGTCCGAATTGGCGGGAGGATCAAGTTTCGGATTCGAAGAAATAAATTAACGATTGCTTGGCCGGAGGGAGATCGCCGGAGACGACAGAAACATCCGATGACAACGGAATTTTACCGCCTAATTAGATGTGTCCGTGAAGCTGCGAGGAATTCTTGGAATTCTTCTGCGAGCCGTAATAGTTTCTCGAGGCCCATTAATTGACGTGGGCCTTGAGCCCAAAAGGTTCGGGCTTTTCCTTTTCTCTGACTTAGAACTAGGAGGTTGATGGGCTGGGCTAAGTTTGTGTGGTTGAATCCGAAAAGTTTTCTTTTCCTCGGTTCTCTACAATTTGGTGCTTATTACAAATTAGTGGAGAGTAAAAAAAAATTGTAATATAGTTATTGAACAAAGATAAAATTAAAATAGGTGATGAGTTAATTTTATCAAATTAGGTTTAAATACTCTTTTAGTTTCTACTCATTCAGTTTTAGCTCATTATGCTTCATATATTTTCAAAACGTTCATATTTATTTATATATTTTCAACTTTGATTCATTTTTATCCCTATAATTTTAAAGCATTTATTTTGGTTCCTGTACTTTTAAGAAGTTGCTCATAACTAAAATGACCAAAATAGACGTTTTGAAACTAAAGCCATAAGTAATCAAAATAGTATTTAAACATGTTTATTATGGTTAATAACAAAATTGATTAAATTCAGTTCTACACAAACAAATTTTAAGAAAACCACTCAAGGAACCCTACCCCCTATAAGATTAAATTTATTCCAACTCAGTTATCCCAACTCATACTGATATTGTCAGTTACATTTCTCTACCGCTAGACTCAATTTGAGACAATTTCTTATGATAAATAAATAGCATATTAAGTATTTTTCCAAAAAATACCCAAAACTTTTTTTAGATTTTTCTAAAATAACTTTTTGGTCATACGTCCAAATCTCATTATACGTTTAACTTCACTTGGGTGTATAAATTTTGAATGTTATTCCATTTTGGTTAATTGAACAACTTCAAATGGGGTCGATTATTGGGTTTAACCTGGGTCTAAGTGTGTTAATCGGATTCGACCAACATCTATCAGCTTTTTATTCTTCACCCCATCTTCTCCTTCACAATCGTCGTGTTCTTCCTCTGGCTCTTATTTGTGAATTGAAGATCCAATTGCTGGTAGTGAAGCAATTAACTTGAGACCATCGCACTAAATTCAACCAACAGCTGTTATGCGGACACAAAACTCAATCAGTGTCCAATCCAATGTTCATCATCAAGCAATATGAAAGACTAATCTTCTATCGAAGATAACAATGTTAAGAAGTCCAAAATTCAGATAGATTCATTTCCTCAAAATATCTTCTAGCTCCATTGGTAGGGACCATGTCACATGTCAGGATAAAGAGACACCCCAATCCACAAGGCGTAGAACGGAAAAAAATATACTTAGATCCTCACCGGTGAAAACGAACCATGTTATTTCCATCATTAAATATTTGTCAATTCATAAAATAATTTTCTGTTTTTGCCTTTCTCCCTAATTGTCAAACATTTGTTAGGTAAGGTTGGTGGGGACTATCCCCACCTATGAGGAGGCAAGTATTTTCAAAGACGGGACCATGATAAAAGCTTTCCCATTCCCATTGCCCACCAGGCACCAAATCTTATGCAAAAGTAAAACCTATTTGTGGTTGTGATCCCCAGAACTCTTAGAGAGTGCACCCATGAGAAAGTCCTTGAGGGAGATCGGCAAATGGTACAAGATGGCCATAATGGTGGAATAGCGGCCATAGGAGAACCAAGGGGGCGGCCTCTTTTTGAGGACGGCGGCCACCGTCCTCTCGGCAAACTCGGCGGTGGGGGTGGACTTGGGGCCTTGCGAGGCGTTGGCTCTGGCCACAATTGCACCTTCGAACGCCTTGAACAGCTTCAGCTCCGGCATCTCATTGAACCCAGCTACGGCAGAGCTTCCGATGTTCGATTTTATGGCACCGGGGACCACATTGATCACGTCGATTCCAAATGGCTTCACCTCCATCCTTCAATCACAATAAATATTTATAATTAGCAGGTGATGCAAATTGAATCTCATTCAATCAAATGGAGGTCTGCTTGAATCTTAAATATGAAATAATACATCCCCTAAATTTTTTGAAACTTAAAAATTTGGAATAATATTAAATATCTTTTAAAGTTCCGGCTCTATTATATACAACTCSAAAAGTTAGGGACCAAACTATGTGTCAGAATCAAGCTCAAAAACACCAGGATCAAACTAGACCCAACCTCAGACTCAAAACCAAGTAAAATAAATTGGACCTTACCTAAAAATGTACGAATCCAACTAAAAATATCAACAGCAATTATCACACCCCAAATAAACCTATAAAATAGTCGGCAAATGAATTAATGAAGCTACTGGTTAAAAAGTTTAAGTTTCAATTTATTGAAATAAAAACTTAGATCAAATTCAACCACCAGAGTACATTAATTTTTCTATAAAAGGGAAGAAAAGGAAACCTACTTTTCTGGTTACTAAGTTTTCTAGTGTTATTTGGTCCTGGAGTTTCAAAATTAAGCACTTTTACCCCTAAATTTTTCGTGAATAGGCTTCAATACTCCCTCCACTAGCATATCCATTAAATAACTAATCGAGAGATAATTGAGCTGATATGGCAAATCTAAGTTACAAGATCGCGGTTTTAGAGTCCCAAATGCTATCGGATGGATAAACATCGTGATTTTAAAACAACAGCAACATCGTAGTGTTCTTCTACCCATTTGCACTACACCGAGATMTTGATTTCGAGTATAACCACGCTAGGATCTAATATCTCACAATGTTCATCCTAAAATTGCACTGTACTAGGGTCCACAACAAGAAGATGCGTCGATTAAACAAGACCAGCAACAAATCTAGGCAAAACACATTGTGGGCAAGATAATGAAAAAAAACATCAATTGTTTATTTTTAGATGTGAATCAGATAGGGGTATACAATTACAAACCTTACCTCAGACAGTCAGTAATGGTATGAACAGCGGCTTTACTCGCAGTATAAGCACCAGCCCATGGAGTAGGAGCCATTACGGTCACGCTTCCCAAATTCACTATCTTCCCCTTTCTGCGTGATGCCATGTGAGGAACCACCGCTTGTATCAATCTCATAGTCCCTGTACTCCCAAAATTGGTACAATCAATCACGATATTAATTTAATATCATCAAATTCAGAAAACCGCCCTCTCATATCTGGACATGTCGTCCTCTTCCCAATTTCTACTGTACTTTCTACTTTGACACAAACAGTCAAACAGCAGCCTTGTTTTTAACGAAACGAGCAACTTAGCAACTCAGCCGACACTGTTGGTTCCGTAGAAGTAGATTGAATTTTGATTATTCGATCAAATCAGATGTTAATCTCAGAACAAGRAGATATCCATAAGAACCGATGAACAAGTATAATGCCCAAAATATAATCAATTCTGAACTTATATTGGGGGCTCAGGCAATTTGCAATTTCAAATCCCTAGTTTTGTTATCATTTGATTCTGCTGGATTGAAATTAAGAGGAGAACGAATTCCACAACGAATGAATCAGAATTTAAAAAGAAAAAAAAAAGAGTAATTCGGTAGCTCACCAAAAACATTGGTATTGAAGGCGTTCTGCATAGCTGAGAGAGGAACTTCGGGTATGGGGCCAATACATTGAACTCCAGCGTTGTTCACCAAAATATCGATTCGACCGAATTTTTCGATGACGAGAGACGTTAATCGCTCCACGCTCTCGTCCGACTGGACATCCAGTTCTTGTAAGAAAAACCTAGGATCCTGCTCCAGCTCCGCCATCGACCGCCGGGACCTACTGGTGGGAACCACCACACAGTCGTGGCCGGCAAATGCTCGAGCCAGGGCGTGTCCTATGCCTCCGTCGGAACAGCCGGAGATCAGAACCACTTCTTTTCCGGCGAACTCCATCTCCCTCTTTCAGCAGTCCATGATTACAAACTTTTATTTATACCAGCAATAATCAATTCCACCTGAAATTAAATGTTTGTTTTTCAAATATATTAAAAATGATGTTTAAAAAATTAAAATATGAATTTACGAMAACTTAAAAGGCAAAATAAGAAASATACATTCTCCTACATACATACATCCCTACCATTTGATTGTAATGTTTCATATCGTAGTCTGGATCACAGACTATGCGGATGATAACACTCTTCAGCCACATCCAATGGATTAACTTCTCTCAACGAATATATTTACCTGGATAATTTTCTCTTGTCAATAAATTTTTGAAAATTTAAATGGTTAATAAAGACAYAAACATAAAAATAAACMTGAAATAAGAAATTTAAAACTAGTTAACACATRTACAGCAACAATCAATAGTCTATATTACAGATAATACGAACATTAATAAACTAAAATAAATCATTAATATATTAATATAAAAATGTAATTTTATACTCTAGCTCGTTATCAAATCAAATAAACTTATGGATTCTTGGATCTTTAGTGTTTCTCTCACAAATAACGAAAATTTTTAATTTTCATTGCAAGAGAAAAACCTTCATAAATATTTCGAGAGAGAAAAAATACACAATTCTATGTATGGTGTTTTCTTTCATGTTATATAGATATTTGTAATCACACCTATTTGGAAATTGATATATCATTTCATCAATCACATCTCTTGGATTAACTTATCTATCTAAAAAAATACATCGGTCTATTATATTATATATAAACAATTATCAATCGCACCCATATGTGAATGAATACATCACTTCTCTCAACAGATACCTCGACCCAAACAGTTGCATCCCACGTAAGTTTCAAGGATAAAATAGATATTTATTAAAAAGTGGAAGGTAAAAATGGAAGGCAAAGATTCTCCCCATTTATATATAGTATAGATAACGTTGGAAGTAAAAAATCAATTAATGCTTACMAGAAATAGTCTATTTTTGCCCTAAATGTTTAATTTTACCAAATTAGGCTTTAGACTACTATTTAAAGAATTGTTAAAAAGGTTACACAGTGAATCGAACTTTAAGATCCAATTTAATGTTCTTAAAAATATTTAATTTAATGAGATTGTAATTTTTAGATAAAAATTGGTCCAGCTAATTGAAGCTAGAATTTAAGTTTTTCTCTAATTTTTTTTTATAAATTAATCATTTGGTTAAATGTAATTTTGTACCTAACCTTTATAATTTTATATTTGAATCTCTAAATTTGAAAAAAAAAATCATCTTGGGTCTTAAACTTTTATTCATTATCTATTTTTTGATCTTTATTTTAATTTTTTAAATCAACTTTAATCTTCTAACTCGAAAGAAATGAAATATAACATTTTTATTTTTATATTTTGTAGCCCTTTGAAAAAATGTTGGAAGGCCCAAAACTTAAAGCTTCTAGAAAATTAAGAATACCATCGCATCAATAAATAAAAGTTTAGGACCAAAAAAATATGTTCAGATCTAATGCTTTTTGTAGCTTTAATTTTTTTTTTCATAAAGGTATTTACTCCTGTATAAATTTTCATTTTAGACATTATTTACAAAGTTTAATATTAGACATTGTATATATACATACTTTAAAACAAAAGTTTGCAGGTGAATTCGAGCACAGTCACGTGTAGACTACATTATTGCTTCAAATTCCTACTTTGATATAATATTAGGAAAAAATAACAAAAATCTACCTAATTACATATAAAACTATATATAAACAAGAATATCGTGTATATATATGACGAAATAAATGGGCAATTTATCGCCAAAGCCTATAATAACAATTAAAAATAATAATAATAATAATAATAAATAAATAATTCGTAATCCTTTTTACAGTCGAATTCCTAATCCTAAGTCCTAATACGTAGATTTCCATTTCCTCGTCGCTTTCCTTTTTTCCCCTCTTAAAAATTCACTGCTCACATTCACAGACCGAACAAGCCAATCCATTGAATACGATCAATTTTCAGAGTACGAATTTGCTTTGATTTCTGTGACCGTCAAAATGAGTTCTCCGGCACTCCTTCCTCCTCGTGAACTTTACAATCTTCGTCAATGTGGCCAGAAATTGTCGCCGATTTCAGAAACTGCGAAGCAGGAAAGTAGCTCCGGCGCCACCGGCCTCCGCCGGGAGAAGAGGCGCCGTGATGATGTAGAAGAGAGTGAAACCGCCGTCGATTTGCAGGAGCTCCGATTGCCATTGAAAAAGCGAAAAGCTCTTCGTTGCCAGACCAAGACTGATTCCTCCAAATTTATTCTGGTCGTTTATAGGGATTCTGTCAGAACAAAAATACGACTGCCTGATTGATTTGACTTACCGATTGTAAATAAGAATACCGTTGAATTATTTTTTAATAATGTTCTTATTAGGCCTTCGATTATAAGTAAATCATTAATCATATTCATGTGAACATTAGTTTTTGTAGTCTACAGCATGTTTCTAACACACAACCGACTTTTATCAATAGATCGAATTGCTAGGTTTTATCAAAATTTAACTTAATTATTGTGATTATTAGTTTAGTCTATTATACATTGCCTAAGCATAACTCAACAAATTAAGGTACTTATATCCGACTAGAGGTCGTGAGTTCGAATCTTCCACCTAGATTCTCTCTTATACTTAAAAAAAAAGTAGTCAATTATACTTTAATCAAATTATGTTAGGTTCGACATGAATTTTTCAACATCCGTCTAACTTGTTATTCTCTTTGTTGTAATATAAAATAATATAAAGTAGCTGCATCCACATTCTCGCTGTCATTTAAAGAATGATATAAAAATATTTAAAAAAAACATTAATTGAGAGTTGTTGAGTGGTAAATTTCAAATAAAAATGGCACAATCCAATAAAGCGTATTGAGGTTATAAAATGGTGTAATCAAGGACAAACTCGAGTAAAGTCAAAATCCATTAAAGAATCAACTAGATGACCAAAAGCTCAAGATGAACTAAGCCCAAAACTCAAGTTGGGAATACTCAACTTAGAGCAAGGCTCAAAGTTAGCACAAATTTAGTTGGTGAGACCAAATCAACATATATAAGACACTATAAATAGAGGAATGAACTCAAATATAAAGGCGAAGAAGAAGTTTAAAGAAAAAATTAAAAGATAAATATTAAATATCGTATTCAATGGACTGAATTAATACAATTTGTATTTAGTCTGCAAATTATATCTGTTTCCTAAATCTGGYGTGAAACAGAGTATTAACTGCAAGACTCATGATGAAATAAGATAGATGAATGAATTTTTGTCCACCGGCATACAAAATAATTTTACAATTTCACAGACAAGTAGAAAGATTTTTCTTAATACTGAAAATAAGAAAATCCTCCACCTAGGAGACAAAATTGACCTCCCTCGCCTTTGGCTCAAAATAATGGGTTTCCATTTCCCTGGAGGGGAGGGTGTCTTCTTTTTTGCTTTTACAAGTAAAGGAAAATTTGGTCCATCTTTGAATTTACTTCATGCATCATCGACAATGAAACCATAGGACACCAAATTCTATGTTTTAAATCCGCAAGTTTGCTTAATAAGCATGAAATTATAAAATAAGAAAAAAGTATGATTGTGATGTTTTGGACAACTTCTAAACTAACAACTAAATTTATTATTTCCTAAAAAAAACTAAATTTATTATATATCAATGGAGTTGTCATTATTGATAAATGTCTATGGAAAAAATCGGCCATAATTTAGCATCAACAAATGATGTCAACGACAACGGTACTCGAATTGAATTTGTTTTTAGTTTCACCAATAATGTATTATTTCAATGAAGATAATTGTCTTCGTGGATGCAGAGGAAGTGGAGTTCAATTTTGCCCAACAAACAAAGATATTGAAAATAATCCAAATTTCATCTTGATTCTCAAGAGTACATGAAAGGACAATGCATCTCGTCATAATTGACCTGTATAAAAAAAAAAAAGTTGGCATCTAAATCTGCTAGTTTTTCTTTTAGTTTCTAAAAGAAACATTTAGTTCAATTTGTGTGCTATATCATAGAATTTTTCACAAAAAAAAGAAAAGAAAAGAAAAAAAGAACCTCCTAGGTGCATATTTCTTCTATAAACACTTTTTAAAAAACACCATTTAGTTCAATTTGTTTAAAGAGCTTTTCAGAAATTTCAAAATTATTTTTAACATATGGAAGTTCCTTCCAAAAATCGTACCAAACCAAACTCTGGATTCGCATCCCAAAGAAGAGAAAAAGAAAAGAAGTGGAGATGGGGGAAAAAAAGAGGCCATAATTTCTGCTTTCTTTGTATCATTTCTGGTCAGAATTCAGATACACCACCAAAGAAAGTTCAAAATTTACACAAGCCTTTGGGCCAAGGCAGAGACAAAATAAAGCGAAAAAAGGAAAAAAGCATTAAAAATCTACTCTGGCTTAGAATTTCAATTCTGAAACTGAAAGTAAAAGCCAGATCCCGGTTTCACGAAGAGGCGGCCGGAAGGCCAATTAGGGTCCCGGGATGGACTTTTTTACAGGATTTTCCGGCGACGGCGGCACCGTATTGRGCGGTTTTAGAAGGGTTGACGGAATCTTCTCTTCTCCCGGCCCTCTCCTGCTCCATCCTCTGCAATTTCTCCTCCGCCTTCTTCTTCATCACATAAACCCTAGCGCAGCTGGCTCCCATGGACGACATGAACGCCTCTGCCTTTGTCTTTAATTTTGTTTTTCTTATTTTTATTTTTTAATCTGTGGGTTTCAATAACTCAACCCCCCACTTATTTATAGTCGAAATTTACTTACTAGGGCCTACGGGCTTCGTTGGCCCCTAGAGTAGGGGTCGCCTTAACCCTCGATTTCTCAATCATATTTGTATTAGAAAACATAATTTTTTAAAATTTGTGTATTTTGTAATTTGTAAAAGTCAGCAGTGTACTGTATTAAATACCYTTTATATCTAATAACTCTATCAACTTTAATAGTATTTAATTTAATAATTTAAATATTTACGGATAGTGTCGACTRCCAATAATTTCTTT